ACACAAACCAGATTCCTGTTAGTGGAAATTGTATTTAGACACTACAATCTAGGCAGCAGGGACATGCACTGCAACTTAGTTGTCAGTACTGGTAGCCCTTTTTGGTGGGTATGTTTAGGAAATATATCATTCATCCTGATTCTTCCTTTTCAAATTAAATATTGTGAGAAAACCCAATGGGTCAGATTGGTATATTGGACTCCAACGAATGAGAGATCTTACCCAGCACCAAACCTGACTAATATGTTCAAAGATACAATTATCACAAGACACAGGTGAAGTGTCGAGAAGTATGTGACTGCCAGGGCTGCTGCCAGCTACTGCTTGCCTCAACTAGGATGCACCCTGGCCTGGATTTTAACGTACGAAGCCTCTGAGTGATGCATATGGAATGTTACGTCCATGAATGGGGCTATTTCCATTATGAAACATCTCCAGTTTATTCTGGGATAACTGCATAGCTTGTGTGATATTTTCTAGGAAGTCATTCCTCATAAATATATACATCCCAGGTTTATGTACAGTGAGCAGTGTAGACATACCACATGCATACTGCTAAAGCATTCCATAGGTAGGAAGGACCCGCCTGGTAGTAAATACCTTTAGTGTGCTTGCTGGAAGTCTTTTGTCAGCATGTTTCTAACATGATTTGATCATGTCACCTCTCTGTTCATGTATAACATAAATTATATATGCATGGTTTTGTGTGCAGTCCCACCTACATTAGAACTGGGTACTATGATATTTACTTTTAGACTTGCTTCCTTTGTTGTTCTCTCATCCACATCTCTGCCATATTGATCTTCCTAAAACCCAAATTTGATCCATAACTCCCCTGTTTACAACCCTGCAGTATCTTCCCATTTGCCCGTGAGATGACACATAAGCCCCTTGGCATGATTCCCAAAATCTTCCACATGCAGCATGCCTGCTGGCTTCTGAGACTTCATCTCTGTGGCTCTGCCCCAGACCCTCTTTCAGTGATATCAAACCCATTACCATTCTTCAGATACACCGTGCAGTTTATGCCTCTAGGTCTTTGTACAAGTTCTTCCTGCTGCTTGGACTACATTCCTCACCCCCTTGCCCAAATTTATCCTATTTTTACTCATCCTTAAAGAAGAACTTAAGTTTCTCCTTTCTGAAGTGGATCTGAACCACCCAAGGATAGTTGAACAGTCTCATGTCTGTAAGAACTTCCTGCCTCATGTCCCTGCTTTCCCCCTTATGTCAGTTCTCTAACAGCAACCAGACCAGTTTTCCTTCCTGTTCAGAGCCTCCAGTGGCTTCCTATCACATTCAGAATAAAGTCCAAATAAGGCCTTCCACGATCAAGCCCCTACTATCTCTCTGACTTTATCTTCTGCCACTTCCCTTCACTCACGTGATTCCAGCCACACTTGCCTTCTTGTTGAATATTTTACACTTAGTTCCAACTGTCTCTGGGATCCCCAGGACCACACCTCCAGGCTCGATGATTTTCCATGAGACTCCTAGGACTGAGCATGTAGTCATATTTATAGCTATGGTTTATCACAGCAAAAGAACACAGAACACAATAAAGAGAAATATGCATAGGTGAAGCCTGGGGAAAAACTGGATGCAAGCTTTCTATGGTCCTCTCCCTGGGGAGTCACACAAAATGTGTTTAATTTCTCCAGCAACAAGTTGTGACAATATGGGTGACATGCTGTCTACCAGGGACACTCATTAGAGACCTACACCTAGAGTTGTTTTAGGAGGGTGGTCATGTGGGCACTCTGTACCTAGCACATACCAAAACTGCAGACTCGTGGAAGGAAAGCAGGTGTTCACCATAAACCACATTGTTTGTACAGTTGGGATGAGTCACTCCTAACAGGGTAGCGGGAACCCTTCCAAAATCTTAAGTTCCCAGACACCAGCCAAGGGCTAACCTTATAAGCAGGTCTTTTCAAGGACAGAAGTTAAAACCTGCTATGTGAACTCTTCTCTGCATAGTCTACCCCCTGGTCATTAGCTGTCTTGGCTTTACAGCAAAGTTACTCTCAGTGAGACCCAGACAACAGAGTGAGAACAGTCTGCAGTATTGGTTTCAATTATGCCCTTCATGGGTCCTGGA